CTTCTTCTTCTTCTTCTTCTTCTTCTTCTTCTTCTTCTTCTTCTTCTCCTCCTCCTCCTCCTCCTTCCTCAAGGGAAAAAATCAAGTTGCCTTTTCAAAAAGCACCTTTGAGATAATGCTATTTTTTGTTTTACATTTATAGTAATAGAATCTTTCAGGTCTGAACTTCATTCCGCCTCCCTCTTTATCTTCTGGGAACCAGGGAAGGATCCTTTGAGTTAGGTCAAGGAGAAAGCAAGTTAGTTTTTCAATGGATGAAGTGCAGGCTTTATTCCAGAGCAAATAAAACCATGTTTTTGGTGGATAACAGCCAAGAATGAGAAATGGATGTTTGTCACACACAAAAACTATGACTGCAGATGAGACAATTGGACTGCTGAGATCACTGTCTCCTCCAGAGGATATTTCTTGAGAAGACAGCCTAGTCGCTTCCACGCAAGGTAATTGCTTTCTTGAAATGTTCAGTAAGATTTAGATGCTGGAATTCCCTGCCAAGGAACTGTGGCATTTCCTAGCAATCTCACGGGAATTTCTTGAGTGACAAAATGAGTAACGATGCAGAGCAGGGTTTCTGAAATGACGAGCAGATTCCAGCTCCCAGAATTCCCCAGCTAGAAACCCCTTGCTTCTGACCCAACAATTTTTCTAAACAAAACCGTTTTAAAACAAATACATAGAAAGCAAGGAGAGAAGCAACCTAGAACTAAGGAGAAATTTCTTGACAGGGAGGACAATTAGTCATGGGATAGAAGTTGTGGGTGATCCACCACTGGAGGCTTTCAAGAAGAGATAGGGTAGCCACTTGTCTGCTTGAAAAGGGGGTTGGACAAGAAGACCTCCAAGGTCCCTTTCAGTGCTATTATTCTGTTCGGTTCCATTATGGCATAGGGCAAGGAGATGCCAGCCACTATTAATGTATTATTTTACAGAAAAGTTTGGGTTTTGGGGGGAAAGACCATCCTGGCAAACGAGGTAATTGTTTTTGGCTAAAGGATAGTTTTGTTTATCCAGCTCACCTATGCAAATGGGGTTAGGTGCAATTTATTCTCTTCTCAATTTAGAATGGGTTTTGTTTAGTTTGGTTTTGGTTTTGGTTGGTTTTGGTTGGGTTGGGTTGGTTATTCTGTTTTGTTGGGAAAAGAAGACATGGGACCATGAGGACACAGAGATGAACACCTGGACTTGTCCACACAAGTCCAGATATTGCCAAAAAGCACCCCAATTTGGAATGGGATGGAGTTCCTCTGTAAACAGATCAACCGTCTATTGTTACCGTAAGATGGTCTGATTCACTCCATTCTGGCCTGTCTACTGGCGAAGGTATCCTCTCTCCAATAGATGACATCAGTGGAGTTAAAAATGATCTTGGCTTAAACAAGTGTCTGCTGTGGTTATGCTTGCTTGGGTGCCCAGAAAGCAAATAAATCTGTTTTCAGACACTCACATAGTTTTAAGAACATTGAATTCATGTTTTTTTTTTTTTGGATTATAACACTTTGCCCTTAATATATCGTGGGTTTGTTTTTTTTAAAAAAAAACCTTTATATTTTACTCTAATTCTTCTAACAGTTCTGTGAGAACTTGGGTCTCTTAATAAAATCTGCTTATAACTTTCCCTCAGAATCCTTTTTGTTTTTAAAGTTTGCAGCTCCCCAAACACTATATACAAATATTTTTAAACCAAGCAGGGTTGAACCTTGGTCAGGATTTGAAGGAGGGACCATCAGGAATCCCCAAGAGCATATTTTAGAAGGAAGACAATGGCAAACCACTTCCACGTCAAGCAAGAAAACTACAACAATGGATCTGTGAAGAATCAGACTTGACTTAAATTGAACATTGCACAGGATTGCCTACGTAACTCTCCGATAAAATGGTGTCATTGCTATTCAGAGATACTGGTGATGGTAGCGACCCTCCCTTTTTCTGTAGAGTTATTTAAAGTTATTAAATATTTAAACATACAAGTCTAGTAAGGCCACAGTTGTAGTGGAAACAGGTTCCTGGTGTTAAGTTCTCCTTTAATTTATGTTGGCTTATTGAAAATATGTTCCCTGCCTCAGGACAGCAGAGTAAATATTCCATGCAGTTATTTTAAGATACATTCCTGATTGCTTCTCAGTCTAAGCCTAGAATAACAACGCTGTAAAGAATGTGGTGGTTATACAGCACCAAGATCAGAAACCTTTGAAAAGGTTCTGAAAAGGAAAATGGATTTCTGCTTCGGTTCTCAAACTTTACAATGCTATGTTCTCCTAAAATGATTAAATGAATTTGTGATAAATCAATAAATCTCAAAGGAGGGAAGGAGGCAGGCAGGCAGGAAGGGAGGGAGGGAGGGAGGGAGGAAGGAAGGAAGGAAGGAAGGAAGGAAGGAAGGAAGGAAGGAATTAAATGAAATTAGGAAGGAGGGGGAGGGAGGCAGGAAGGAGGGAAGGAACAGCTGGAGCTCCAAATCAAATTCAGATCTTGGTGGCTTCCTGGTTGTGGAGAATGGACAAAGTGTAGTCAAATCAAAATGGCAACTACAAAGGTGAGATCAAAGTTTTCCCTGTTTTTCTTGTTTGTCGCAGGGAAAAATAGCATGGGAAAAATCACACTGATAAAAGATTTGCTTACTTTTTAGCAACCTTTCAACTTTTTGCCTCTAAACTAGGATTGGGGCATGCATATATCGATTTTGATGACCTTTGGCCTTTGGAGTATAGCTTTGAGCTTTGTAAAGACAGGTGAGCAATTTTTAGAACACCAAAAATGATTTGGCAGAGACGAAAGTTTAATTCAAAACTTCCTTTGGTACCATGAAAGAGCCACAAAAGTTTTTATAGGATTCTGGTGTTTTTGACAAGCCAACAAAGCATCTAGTTGACCTTGACTGGTTAAGAAAACCAAGCAGGGTTGAACCTTGGTCAGGATTTGGAGGAGGGACCATCAGGAATCCCCAAAAGCATATTTTAGAAGGAAGACAATGGCAAACCACTTCCACATCAAGCAAGAAAACCACATCAATGGATCTGTGAAGAATCAGACTTGACTTAAATTGAACATTGCACAGGATTGCCTACGTAACTCTCCGATAAAATGGTGTCATTGCTATTCAGAGATACTGGTGATGGTAGCGACCCTCCCTTTTTCTGTAGAACTTTCTATGCAAGACTAGAAATGTTCTCCTTGGGGAAGAAAACAGAAATGTTGTAATGTCATTTGTGCATTTGTATCTGTGTATATACAATGAGTCATGTCAGCGAGAACTTTTATGTTCTGGCTAAATACCCCACTGAAAGACATGGAAACATTGCTTTGAGCTCTGTGTGTATACACTGGATATAACAATATTTACTTCCAGGTAAATAATGACAGGCTTGAAACCTTCCTAAAATTTGGCTTTGGCTATAGGACAACTTGTCAAACTTATCTGACACAAACACGCCTCAAAACCATTCCTGCCCATTTGAGTATCCGATTTGCTCTCTTGTGAAACATTCCACATAGCTGCTGTGCTATTTATTTCAGGAGACATCATGACAGCAAATTCTTATTTAATGTATTAGCCAAGGAAAAGATGGAATGTTGATTGATTAACTTCGCTATTAATTGGGGGCCACCAAGACTTTCCTATCCATAAAGCTTCCTCGGAAAACTCTCACACTCAAAGGTGTTTCCAGCAACAGCAGTTGCATCTACAAAGGGGATAATCCTCTGACTTAGCTACTTTTTTTGTTGATATATCTCTTAAGATTTGGGAAAGTCTTCAAGTACTTGCCAATCTTCCCTAAATGTATTAGTTTTCCCCTGTAAAACATAGCCTCCCTTTAACTAAAGAGCAGGTTTCCTTTGTTGGGAAAGCCATCCACTTAAACGAATCTAAACAAACACCTTTATTTAACTGCAGACCCTCTCGATTATTTTGCCTTTGGAAATTAACGCTGAGAATCGCAAGCTTTAAAAACACTTACCTGGGTCTTGATGGTTTAATAGGAAGAGTAAAAGAAGAGACACAGTGCAAAGCATAATTTCGCAGCCTCTGTCCCTCTCTCTTGCTTTAGCAGATGACGAGAAATGAATAGCTTTTTTCCCCAGGATCAACTTTTGGCCAAATAGCTGGGATTGGTAAAAAAAAAAAAGAGCTCTGAGCTCAGCCAAATTTCTTACGTAGCTCTCTTGCTTTCTCCCCTCCCTTTTCCTCCCCACCTTCAAACAACACAGGGTCTAGTTCTCCATCGAGCTCATTCTGAGCCACATCTGCCGCAGGAAAGAGTATGGATTTCTGAATTTTTGCTTGCTGGTGAAGGGAAGGCACTGAAAACATTCTGCTGGTCACATCGAAGAGGGAATTGGTCTATAATGTGAGGCAATTTTTAGCATGCAGAGAAAGAAGCAGAGACCATTAACAGGAATTCAGCTCAACTTTGAAGGGCAACCTGAATTTGAAATGGTCAGTGCCTGGAATTCACTCCCTGACTCTGTTGTTACAAACTCAACCCCCCCAAAAGTTTAACCTCAAACTGTCTACCGCGGACCTCACCCCATTCCTCAGAGGGGGGCATGCATAAGCGCACCAGTTTGCCTACTATCCCTGTCCTACTGTTCCCATTTACTCGTACTCATTTACTATGTGTATACTCATACCCGTTTATACGTATATGTTTATATGTTGTGTTCACACTTATACTTGTTTTCTCATGCATGCTTGACAAATTAAAATAAATAAATAAAAATAAAATAAAATCCTACAGCAGGGATTTATTTCGTTTTTTTCTGTTGTATTCCACTCCACGCCTCCATTTTGTAGGCGGGTAACAGAATGGCTAGATGAATCCATGAACTGCCGTGAAGCACAATGGAGCGACCCAGTGGTGGGATTCACATATTATTTTATTACCGGTTCTGTAAGCATGGCAAGGGAAGGGTACTGTAAAATCTCCAGTCAGAGGTGGGATTTGCTGGTTCTCCGAACTACTCAAAATTTCTGCTACCAGTTCTCCAGAACTGGTCAGAACCAGCTGAATACCACCTCTGGAGTGGTCTAAAAGTCTAAGTGCTATTGCTCTTTTATAGAGTTGCAAAAAAAGTGTCAAAAAACTAGATACAGGTAGTTCTCATCATACAGCCATTCACTTAGGCATGGTCTGAAGTTATAACTGCACCAGAAGTGGTTATTGAGCAGGTTCTGACCAGTTCTAGAGAACCAGCAGCAGAAATTTTGAGTAGTTCAGAGAACCAGCAAATCCCACCTCTGACAGGCCCCGCCCCCATCTCTTCTCTGCCTCCTATTGAGTCCCAGCTGATCAGCTGGGTCTTTTTTTGTTGCCCTGCACAGGAGAACGGAGCTGGAAAGCAGGTTAGTGGGGTTCGGAGGGAAGGGGGATTTTGCAGTATCCTTCCCCTGCCACGCCCACCAAGCCACACCCACCAAGCCACACCCCACAGAGCAGGTAGTAAAAATTTGAGTCCTACCACTGAACTGCACTGAATCTTGACATCCTGTTTACTAGGGGAGAAAACGTGACGATCATAAATTAAGCCATGCAACGATTCTTTCATAAGTAGAAGGCCAAAAGGGTCTTTGGGGATGAGAGCTATTCATAGAACATAGAATAACAGAGTTGGAAGGGGACTTTGAAGGTCTTCTAGTCCCACCCCCTTGCTCAAGCAGGAGACCTTACCATCCTAGACAAGCGGCTGTCCAGTTTCTTCTCAAAAGCTTCCAGAGATAGAGCAACAGTAACTTCAACTTCCCTTCATCTCTCTGGAAAAAGTCTGGGACAAATTTGGAAAAGCATTTGCTCATTTTGCATGGAACGGTTTTAAGCAGAGAATCGGTGACAGCCCATAAATACGATGTTTGATCAAATTCCAGGGGTTTCGGGCCAGGTGTCCCAATGGAATTCCTTCAAGGAATTCAAACAAGACGTACGGCATTCACAGATCAGCAGAGGGCATGCAGAGAGCGTGCATGCATGAGGGTGAAAACCTGTAGAAACATGCCTGTTTGAAATTAAGAAAATCCCAGGACTGATTAAACCCGATCAATAATTGGTCTTATTGGAGTTTCTAGAAAGTTGTGATATTGGAATTATTGTGGAACATTGAGTAACATTCAAAAGATTAAAATATTAGTAACTCGGGAGGGGACAACAAATACACTGTATGAAGAAATGTTATTGATGTTTAAATATATTTAGGGAGAAAGGGAGAAAGAATTGTATTATTTAAAGACAAAGATGTACAACAACCCCAACAAATCCGGGGAGGGATGAGTACAAATTGGGAAAACAGTATTATATACACTGATGTATAAAAGAATCTAGCATAACTACAATGTGCATATTAAGGTTAGAATTTGGAAGACTATGATTATGTGTGTTGAATTGTATTATTATTGTTATCATTGTATAAAAAGTATACTGACCCAGTCAATACACCGTCCACAAAATATGTATGGTTGTTAAAGGAAAATTACAAATAAAACAGAAAGAAAGGAAGGAAGAAAGGGAGGGAGGGAGGGAGGGAGGGAAGGAAGGGAGGGAGGGAGGGAGGGAGGGAAGGAAGGAAGGAAGGAAGGAAGGAAGGAAGGAAGGAAGGAAGGAAGGAAGGAAGGAAGGAAGGAAGGAAGGAAGGAAGGAAGGTCAAAATGTCCACATATTTATTTTTTTCTTGGCAATGATGTTTAGATTTTTTTTTACTTCCTAAATCTGGCATTTCCTTTTGGTTCCTGATCCAAATGCTAACATCTTCCAACCCTGCTTAGTTCCCAAATCCCCAAAAAATCAGCTTTGTGCTGCCACCTGCTGAGACAAATAAACAAATGCAATATACAAACAAATACAAATTGCAAGTCCACTTAAAGCTGATATTATCCCAAGAAAGCTCTTCCTACCGACCAAAAGAAACTTTCTTTTAGGTCCTTAGCACTGATGATGTTACCTAGCATGGTAATGAGACGTCTGCAAGAAGATAACGAAGCTCAGAGAGCACCGAAGACCTCTCATTTCAACCCAAAGGTACAAATATTCTCCTTTATTTTAGCTCTTTGTATAATCCTGATTAACAAACCTAATTGATCCTTAACTTTGTTCAGCAGTGAGTGTAAGCCATTGGTACGTGAGTTCCATGTACAACTGAGTTAAAGACACAACATGTGCTTTGTTTAATGACTATTTATAGTTGCAAGAGCATTGAAAAAGGTGTGCTACATCCAGTTCTCACACTTATGAGTGGTGCAGTGTCTTCATAATCATTAATTAAAATTTGGTTGCTTGGCAACTGGGATATATTAATGACAGTCAACGGTTGCAGGAACCAGGCATGGCTAGTCTAGGGAAGAGAAGGACCAGGGGAGACAGAAGAGCAGTCTTCTAATATTTGAGGGGCTGCCACAGAAAGGAAGGGGGTCAAGCTATTTTCCAAGGCATTCGAAGGCCAGACAAGAAACAATGGATGAAAACTGATCAAGGAGAGATTCAGTCTGGAAATAAGGAGAAACTTTCTGATAGTGAGAACAGTCAACCGATGGAACAGAAGTTGCCTTCGGAAGTTGTGGGAACTTCATCCCTGGAAGCTTTCAAGAAGAGACTGAATTGCCATTTGTCAGAAATGGTGTAGTCTCCTGTTTGGGCAGGGGGTGGGTGGGGTTGATTAGATGATCTCCAAGGTCCCTTCCAACTCTGTTAATCTGTATCTGTAACAGTTGAAGCATCCTGGGGTCATGTGATTGCCATTTGCAATCTTCCAGCAACCTTCCAACAACCACAGTCAATGGGAGAAACCAGATTCATTTCACAAGAAATAAAATGATGGTTCCTGATCAGGGCACAAATGCTTGTAAAATCAGGGGTGACTCAGTTAATGGCTGCACTGCCTAACAACGAAAGCTCCAGTCCCAACTGTGGTCATACTTCAAGGACTTCCTGTAGACATGAAAGCAAAACACAGAAAATTAACTGTTTTGGAATTTGCTGAAAATGTTGCTGATGTCTTTTTGGATGGAATTAAGTGTTGGCTAGGAATGAATATTATTTTAATGCTTGCTGGCCTCCCTTTTGATTCCAAAACATAGCGAGTCCCTCATATTTTCACCATATTAGGAAAACAGCTCAGTATAAAGTGACACCAGCATTTCCTACCCATCTGGGAACGTGGGGAGTGTGTGAATTAACACAACCTTCCATTTTTGCACTACCCAAAAGAAGTTGGGTTGGACTGCAGATAAGAGAAGAGAAGGGAAGGGAAGGGAATTAGAAGACAATAGAAGAGAGAAGAGAAGAGAATTAGAAGAGAAGAGAGAAGAGAATTAGAAAAGAATATAGAAGAGGATTAGAAGAGAACAGAGAAGAGAAGAGGAAAGGAGAGAAGAGAAGAGAAGAGAAGAGAAGAGAAGAGAAGAGAAGAGAAGAGAAGAGAAGAGAAGAGAAGAGAAGAGAAGAGAAGAGAACCAGTTTCTGGTTCAAATCTTCAACAGAACGTTCAGACGGCCATCAACATCATGCGAGGATAACAGAGTTGGAAGGGATCTTGAAGGTCTTCTAGTCCAACTCCCTGCCCAAGCAGGAGACCATTTGGGACAAATGGCTGCACAATCTCTTTTTGGAAACCTCCAATGATGGAGCAACAGGAACATTCAATATTAATTCTTTAATATTGAAGAGGATTGGAAGGGATTGAACAAGATTAGAAGGTCAGGGTAAGGGGAAAGAAAGCCAAGGGTATGCCAGGGAAGAAGGCCATGAATTTTATTGAATGTTGTGCCGTTGAATAATAAGGCTCTCAATTTGCTTCCAAATCTAAGATGGATAGTTAAATGTTACTCTGGTAATTCTGGGCAAATGCTCCCTTTTCAAGACATGCAAAATTTGCTGCATCTGTCTGGTACAAAATAAGAGGATTTCTTAGGAGCCGTGGAAGGAACGAAGAGTTGGGGTAATTATAGCTCCTTTTCCAGTTTATCCTGTCTTAAGAAGCTAAAGGGATCTGACCCCAGGCACAGTTAATTTTAAACCAAGGATGGCTACTCTTTGGCAAGGTAATCACTATCACCATAGTTAAACTTTGTCCAAAATCTCATCAAAAACCGCTCTGTCTAGGAGACCGCATGACCTGGAAAAGTCTCGGAGTTGCA